TGTTGTGGGGCCCTTGACCTGTGCAAAGGTCAGGGTGGGGAAGTTCAACTCAAGACTTTCAGGCTTGGCTACACTATAGAGCTCTTTCTCGCTAAGTTTCCTTTCTTATTAAATTCAATGAATATTTACCGACCCAAACTCTGCTAAACCCACTGAGGGCATCCGAAGATGCTAAAAACCGGGGTCTTGCTCACCACGATACCTTTAACAACATAATGCAAAAATTTATATTTATGCTACTTGGAAAAAGTGCTGGGAACTGGAGAGGTCATGGAGAGACAGGAAGGAAGGGGGCAGGGCACAACCATTAAAGGAATGACACAGCAATTGAAGATTCGACTCCCAGTAGAACTTGGGGCCCAAGATGGTGGAAGATTCAATTCCCAGTAGACCCTGAGCCTCATTATAGGCTCATTATAATACATTAGCATGCTAAATCGCACTCCCTCAGGCACCAGGGCAGTTCTAAGGCGGACCATAAAAGGTGAAAAAGTGGGCGGTGGCCCACTTCCTGGGCATCCCAGCCTCTTCCCCAAAGTGGCTGGAACAGTCCTCCCACTTGTTAGCACAGGAAGTTACCGATCCCATAAAAACCACCACCGCCACGCCTCGTGGCTGCCCTCGCTGGCCCTCTGAGACGGCTGCACTCCGCCTATGGCTGTGTGTCTACTTTTACTTTAACCGCCCCCACATCTCACAGCTGATCTCACTTTCCTAGACGACGCCATGCTCTGAGGCCACCACCTCTCACCTCTCAAGCCGGCCCGCGTCCTACCTATGGAATGTGCACCTCTCTGAATAAATCTAGCTTTACTCAATTGTGGCTTGCTCTAGGATTCTTTCCTGTGTGAAGCCAAGGACCCTCACTTGATGAGGTGCGTCCCACGGACTTGACCAAGACCTGGGACACAACCGTCCTCTTGTGCCCCATTTTCCTGTACCAATGGCAGTCAGCCTGTTGAACTTGTCAGTCATCGATCCCCAGATAGCCAGCCAGACATACAGACCTCTTGGACGGGTCACCCTCAGAAAGAAGGCGGTAGGGCCATAGGTTTCCTTGAGACCCGTGGGATTCCACTGAAATCTTTTTTAAATTGCATTTTCTGTTTATATTTGGATACACTTCTTGTGAAATTATTGATTGATGAGAACGCTGGTGTGGGTTTACAAACACTGGTCTTGCTTTTACTTTCTTAAGGATTTATGTCCCCTAAAGCAATTTGTATATTCTAGAAGAAATGTGCCATAACAGAAGTAAATAAAGTAAGTCCCACTTAGGAGATAATGTATTCATACATGGACCTTGGGCTTGGGCTAATTTGAGCTATTATCAGACACTGACCGATGAACAACAGCTATTTAGTGATTTCTTCCATGACCTTCTCTGAGTCTGCAGTGAGCTCCCTGCAGGCTTTCCAACAAGACCATTTTGCAGGGACACAACTGAGCGACTCAGCTCACTGAACCAAAATCCACATTTACAGAGCCGTTCTGTGCAGAGTATGCTCCAAACACACAGGCAGCAAAGAGGAGCAAGACACATCCCTGACTCGCAAAACTGCCCTGCAGCCCCAGGGTCATGACAGCCCAGGCAGGGGTGGGACCAGGGCTGACACCAGGTGCTCCAGGAAATGGAGGTGGGAGAGGTAGGGCAGGTGCGAGGATGCTCCCTACTGCACTGGGCAGGTGAGATGCCAGCTGGGTCTTGTGGGGTAAGGGAGGCTAAGACTGTATGAGAAAAGGAGGGAGCCCGGGGGAAGGCAGTGCGTTTGCTGGGAGTTCTGGCTTTGTTGGGGTGGGCAGTGGGGGGCAGGTGGGAAGCGGAAGTGAAAGGCTGTAGACTCAGCATCCTCAGACCTCAGAGACTCCCGTTTATATTAGGATTTGAGAAGTTCGCTGAGGACCCCAGGGCTAAGCAAATTCTTCACCTCTGTCCTTCTGCAGCATGAGGTCAGATAGCCACTGCCCAACATCCAGCAGCATCTTCAGCACCAGGTTTTGTGCCTGATGGTAATGAGATGTACTTGATGGGCTGAGTGAAAAGAGCACTGAATTAAGAGTTAGGAGACCCAAACCAACTTTCCATCACTATGGAAAACACCACTGCATCAACCGGGATTAAAAACCACACACGAGGCCACAGAGAGGGCCTAGTTTTTTCTCAAAGATGTCACGATCTAAAATAAGAAACAAACGCCGTATCCAGAGAAGGAAAGTTAGAAGATGTTGAGGGGGGAGGTTGAGGGAGGAGTGTTAGAGCGCGTGCTTAGCATGCACGAGGTCCTGCGTTCAATCCTCAGTGCCCTAATTAAAATAAATATATAAATAAACAAACCTAATTACCTTCCCCATAAAATAAAAATACATATTAAAAGAGTTGCATATATTAAAAAAAAAAAAGAAAGGCGGGAGGAATCAGTGAGGGTTGTGTGGAAGAGATGTCACCGGATAGCACCCTACTTAGACACGGATGACAGCCTGTCCCTGTCTCCTGGGTCCTGGCAGAAGATACAGGATAATGAGGTCAGAGGTCAAGGGGCATGCATCGTGCTTGCATCCTTCGCCCCACATCCCAGTGGGTCGTGTGAGAGACGGGTACCACTCACACAATGGGCTGCATCACAGCTGAGGAACACTGAGCTCAGGGACCATTCCAGCGGGAGACATCACCTCCCTGAAAGTCTCCTGCTGCAAACGCAGCTCTGAGAAGGGCCCAGGGAAAGAGCGCTCAGGACTCAGAGTCTTGGCACACCCAGCATCTGAGCTCCTGTGGCTGCCACAACAAATGACCATAAACTAGTGGCTTAAAACACCAGGTCTGGGGTCCAGAGGTCTTGAATGGAGGTGTTAGCAGGGCTGGTTTCTTCTGGAGGCTCCGTGGGAGAATCTGCTGCAGGCTCTCTGCCAGCTCCTGGTGGTTTCCTAGTGGCTTTCTCTGGCGTTGCTTGGCATGTCAGTACGACCATCTTCAATGGCCTTCTCCTGTCTCTCTCAAATCTACCTCTCCTTTCTTGTCTCAGGACATTGGTCACCTGATTTAGAGCTCATCCTAAATCCGCGATGATCTCAGGGTGCTTAACTTAATTACACCTCTGCAGACCTGCCTATCTGCACCCTAGAGAGAAATCACTCACTGTCCTGCGATGTAAGCAGTTCTCTTCGGGAGAGAGAGAAAAGTGTCTCTAGGCATATGACCCTGGAATACAGGCTACCCTCCAGGGAAAGAGGGCTTTCCCTCCTGGACCCGCTCTGTCTTTTGCTTGCTGTTCAGTCGTCCTTGGAAAGCCAGCCAGTGCCTCTGCCCTGAGGCAGAGGGATGTCACGCAGGAACAGGAGACGATTAGGAGCACTGTCTCCCCAAAAGGGGTGGAGTGATGACGAGGAGCAAGAGCTTTACAGGGTCGCGGCGAGAGAGGTGACCAGCCCTTCTGTGTGTGGAAATCACCGTCAGCACCCTGGTGTTTAATCTGAGCAAAAAGGGAACCACAGGAGAGTTCTGAGCAGAACTTCGTGACCTGATCTCAAGTGCAAAGGCATCAGACCAGCTTCTGTCTGAGAACAGGCTTCAGGGAAGCAAGGTGGGAGCAGGTGGCAGCCAAGGAGGTAAAGGGAGGCGGTGAGAGTCCAGGTATATACTGAACATAGGACTGGGAGGGCCTGCCAACCACTTACAGGAGAGAAAAGAGTCAAAGGGGAGTGGCTCCTGGGTTGGATGGGAGGACGTGGAGCGAGGAGCTGGCATGAACTTCTTTCCCATCTCAGTGGAGTCAGTTCCAGGAGGAAGAGCAGGACTTCAGTTTGCGGACTATTACATTTGAGATGCTCAAGTGGAAAGGCTGAGATTTGGACTTCAGTGGCCTATATTTGAGCCAGAAATCAAGAATTTGGAGTTGTGGATGTTTAGCAGGGGATTCACACCCGCGGTTGGATCGATCCCTTGGGGGGCTGTTTGAAGAGACAGGAGCACAGAGCCGTCAGTCAGGGATTCAGACAGCAAACAGCTGGGGACAGGCAGGGGTGGCCGGCTGGGCAGGGAGGACGGGAGGGTGGGGTCCAGACCCCCACATCAACCCAGCGCTCAGAGTAGGAGAGAATCAGACGCTGCTGCCTGGTGAGGGTGACAGGCTGGGGCTCAGCAGCATAGAGGACACTTGAGAAGACAGGGGGACATTCCACAGAGTCAGCTAAACTTCTGAGGAAGCAGAAAAGGGGCAGCGCAGTGCCCAGAGCAGGAAGTGGGGTCCCAGATGCTGCGGGAGGCAGGGTTCAGTGCGAGCTGCTTCTCTGGGAGGTGCGGCAGCCAGTGAGCCCGGGAAGGGGTGGCAGCCAGTCAAGGGTATGACCTCACACCAGCTCCACTGAGCTTCACTGGCAACTGAAGTTCAGTTCTCCTGGGAAGGTTGTGGGAGCGCGTGAAAATGCACATCTCAGTTCTCCTGCCCGAGGGGCAGTTAGGTATCTAGACACCCCCCCCCACCATGCTTAAATGTCCCTGGGCAGAAGGGGGATGTCATTCCACTTCTGGTCACCAAGCATGTGAGCAGGTGGAAGTGGGAAGGCTGATCCTCACTCAGAACAGGGCATGACTGTGCTGGACGTGGGACCCAGGGGACCAGAGCAGTGCGGGCAGGAGCTAAGTGGATCACACACAAACACCCAAGCGCGGACGGTCTGAGCAAGTGAAAGAAGGCAGGGTGGCGAGAGCACTGGGCCCCCAGACAGCCAGTCCTCCATCAGGCTTCTCATGCTTTTATCAAACATACTTAATGTGTATCCAAGGAAAGACACACATTTATGTTCATATAAAATATTTTTAATGGAAGTTAAATCATACACTTTCTTTTTTTTCCTTCATTTTACAATGTGATCTGGAGATTCGTCCACACCAGTGCATAGAGGTATTCTCAAACCCCTTTTTAAACAGCTGCGTAATATTCTATCACAGCATTTATTTAACCAGGATCCCACAGAAAGCACTTGAAATGTTTCCAATCCTGGGGGAGGGTATAGCTCAAGTGGTAGAGCACGTGCTTGGAGTGCACGAGGTCCTGAGTTCAATTCCCAGTGCCTCCTCTAAAAATAAGTAAATAAACCTAATTACCTCCCTCCTCCCTCCAAAAAAAAATCATTAAAGAAAAAGTTTCCAGCCTTGTGCTATGCAGTGAATAACATGGTGTAACAGGCACTGGGGGATTCTGTGAGTACACATGTAAGATAAATACTGAGAAATGAAATTTCTGGCTCAAAGAACATGTACACTTTATATTTTAATAGTGATTGTTAAAGTGCTCTCCATAGAGGTTGTCTGAATTTACACACCCGCTGGCCCTCTATGAGAACACCTGTTTTCTCACATCTTAGCCAACACTGTGTCATTAAACTTTATGCTCTTTGCTAATATAAGTGACGGCATCTGACTCGGTATAATTCTGATTTTCATGGTTTTTATTACACGTGAGATAGGACATCTCTGCCCATTTTTTAGACCGGGGCCTTCATTGCAATCAAGAATGCAATTCACAGAAGCTTTGTACATCTCAGAAAATCAGCCTTTTGTTGGATCTCAGATGTAAATTTTTTTCGAGTTTGTCACCAATTTTCTGACATGCTTATGGTGATTTTGGAGGGACTGAAATTTTTTTTGCATTAACACTTATCAGTGTTTGGGGGCTTCTGATTCACCTTTCCATAGTTAACAAGGAATGCTGCAGTCCAGAATTATACAGAAATTTTCCCATAATTTCTTCTAAGACTTTCCTGGCTTAATATTTTACATTGAAATCTTGGATGCATTTGGAATTTAGCCTGCTATAATGTACATAGCTCAAACTTCTTTTTTCCTAAATGGCTACTTAATTATCTCAATAATCTATGTTGAATAAACCATTTTTCCGCCCACCGATTCAAAATGCAACTGTTATCAAAGACTACGGCCACTAGATTTTAAGCAGGAGAACGTATAATTAAATTTACTTCCATTGATTTCTGTCTTCTATAGAGCTTTTGATATTATCATTTCAACTGTGTAGAATTCTGTTTTATTCTGAGGACAATCCCTGAAAAAAATAAATCTTCTTTTCTATGTCTATTGTAAAAATCCAGATTCACAGTCATGTATGTGGCAATCCTATGATAAATGTAACTCTACTGCCCCAATTTATAGATTGAAAAACTGGAGCAGTGAGAAATTAAGAAACTTGCTCAAGGTCACACTAGGAAGTGACTGAGTCCAAGCTATGAACCATTATGATACAGACCTGCTTGTTTGTTGTTTTTTTTAATGGTTATACTTTATTTTTATTTATTTTTCTTTTTTTCATGTATTTTTATTTTTATTTATTATTTTTCTCTCCCCCTAACGGGGCACTGGGGATTGAACCCATGACCTTATGCACACCAAGCACGCATTCTTCCACTGAGCTATAACTGCCACTCACCCCAGGTCTGCTTGATTTAAAGAAACATCAAATGATGCTGTGCTGATTGCAATTGTTACTAGGCTCTGTCAAGTGGGGATAACAGTTACCTCTACTGCAGGGCTAGCCTGCAGATTAGTGACCCAGTTTATGTGCACATCAGGCACCCAGGCAGTGATAGCTATTTGTATTAATTTAATGATTTAGGGTCCCTTTTTCCTAGAGACATACATGTCCTTACCACCAAACACGGAGACCTCCAGCTAGGATCCCAAACTAACAGCCATTTTTTCTGAGCCTCCTTTTCATCTGCAAGATGGGTGCGGTAAGAAGACCAACTTCCAAATACTGACTTACAGATTGAATGAGATAAAATCCGTAAAGAGCCTGGCCCAGGGCGCTCTGCCTTGCAACCTTACGAATGCAACCCTCTGTGGCTGGATCTCTTCCCACTCTGTCCTCAACATTAGCAGCCCTGCTCTTCATTCTGTCCAAAATGGGGAGCTCAGAATTGCCAACAGCTCAGCCTCAAACCTAATCGCTGAAAAATTCTCATCTGAATCATGTACTGCAGCCCCACTGTCAGGGTTTCAGATGGGATGGGCAGCGAGGGCGCTGGCCTCAGGGTGGGATCCAGAAGACCCATGTTCTAACTGACACTGGTTTCTCTTTGCTTAAGAAGGAAATATGCCTCTCCCTTCTGCCGTTGGCCCCTCTACCACTGCTTTCCCCCTCCTGGTCTCCGGAGTGCAATGACTTAGTATTTTTGGCTTTGAGGTTGCTTTACATCCTAAATGACACTTTCAGCCTCCTCTGCCACCAGCAGCCCCTGGGCCTCCTGCCTCGCTCTTTCCATCCAGATCAGCTCCAACTTGCCCCTGAGAGTTTGCGCCCCCAGTGGAGCTGCCTGCCTGGTCCCCATGAAGCTGGAGAATCTCTAGCTTCTCTGCAATCCCTAGTTTCTGCTGGTTGAGCCGCTTCTTGTGCAGACTTCACACATTTGAAAAATTAAGTCACTGCCAGCAAGCACTATTGTTGTCAAGAAAGGCCAGTTTCATTCTCCTTCTACTAACATTTAAAGGGCAAATGACTTGTCTCAGAACCGATTCTGAACGCAAGGGCTCGCAGCTATCATGGGCTAACATTGATCACGCGCACAAGGTAGGCGCTGAAGCTAAAGCTTTATAGTCTCTTTTTCCCTGAATTCTCACAGTAACCAGATGAGAGATGTGGGCCTGGCTGGGCAGGTGGCAGGTGGAGGCTTTGGTGGTCCACGCTCATCCCAGACACAGGACAGCCTTCCCACAGCCTCAGGAGACACTGTGTTGGGAAGGGACGGCTGGGAGTCCGCCTAGATAAACCTGACATTGTCAGACACCATCAGGAGAAAGACTATGTCTGAGGGAGGTTCACTGAGCAAGATCAGGGTTTTGGAGCATCGAATGTTAATCCACTCATCTTTTTGTCCACCTGGGGTTCTAAAGGGCTATCTGGATGGGTAGCCCATCTCTGTCCCGTGGAAGATGTGTGTGGCTCACTAAGTGTCTACCTGTCTAGATGGGGTCTGTCTGGCTGCTGTCTTTCTAGCTGGGATCTGCGTGTCTGTCCAGCCACGAGTTTGTCTGAAAATCTTACCAAGCTGAGAGTCGGTCCGTCTGGAGTTTATTCTTCCAGCTGAGTCTACTTGGAGGTTCACCAGTCTGTCAGTTTGAGGTCAGGCCATCTGACTGTGAGGCTAGAGGGCTGTCTTGCTGGCCTCAGATTTGTCTACCAGGCTGGCAGTCTGTGTGAATCTGCTGTCCAGCTCAAGGGCTTGGGGCTTGTCTGGCTAGGAGCCTGGGTGAACAGCTAGGGGAATGACTTGTTGGGAGCTCATTCATCTATCCAGATGGGGGTCCAGCCATTCATCTGGTTTGGGGGTCTGTTCATCCAGCTTGGGGTCTAGCTGGCCAGTTGGCTTGGGGTCCATCTATTTCTATGGCTGAGGATAGTGTCTCACTGTGGCCAGGAATCTATCTGACTAGGGGTCCACCCAAAAGTGGGGTCCTATGTAGCTGAGGACTGGGAGCCCATCTGGCTGGAGGAGAGTCCCATCTATCTGAAGAATCTGCAGTATATGTCCAACCAGCAGATGGGCTGGGTGGTCGGGGATCTGACTGGCTTATGATGTTTCTCTATCTAAGGGTCCATCTGCCTATCTGATCAGTTGATCACCTGGGGAGGGGGTCCGCCTGGCTGTCTTCCCAGCAGGAGACAAATCAATTTGTCTGCCAAACTGTGGGTTCTGTGTACTTGGTGAGTTGGTGGGGGTCTGTCTACCTGTCTGCCTAGCTGGAAAAGTCTGGCTGGCTAGGCGGGTCTGTGTGGCCGGTGTCTGCCTGGCTGGAAGTCCATTCTGCTAGCTGGGAGTCTGTGTGACTAGAAGGTCTGTCAGTCGGTCTGCCCACGTTGGGGTGGGTCTGTGGATCTGGGAGCTCTAGCTGAGAAGACATCTCTATCTGTTTAGCCAGAGATCTGTTTCTGTCTGTCAGAGACGCTGTTCAGCCAGGGGTCTATCTGGCTAGTGTCTTCTGGCGGCCTAGCTGGGGGAGGGAGTCTGTCTTTCGGGTGGTGTCTTTTGCTAGGGGGGGGGTGTCTGTTAGGCTGTTGGGTGGCCTGTCTCTCTGGCTGGAGGTCCACCCATCCAGCTGTGCCTGTCCCTCTGCAGGTCTGACTGTCTGGGGTATGGCTACCTCCCTGTCCAGGTTGGGGGTCCATCTGTCTGCCTGCCCATCTGGGGAGTTTCTACCTGTCTGTCTGAAATAAGCCTGCTTGGTGGTTGTTATGCCTGGCCTCCATCAGTCTGAATGGTGGATTTGGGGTGGGGCCCATCTATTTCTCTGTGTCATCGGATGAGTCTCTGAGCAAGGGAGACTCAAATACTGACACGAACCAGTCCTTTAAGTGCTGATGGGGACAGCCTCCAGAAGCCTGTCTGCCCATCCGCCCCTTCACAACTGGAAGCTCTGCCCCAGACCCTTGGAGTTGAGTTCATTCTTGAATCTTCTCAGAGTAACTTCACCAGCCACTACCCACCAACTACCTGCCCAAGCCTCAGGCCTTGAATGCTACAATCACGGGGGCAAAACCCCTCATCTCCCACACTGAGAAACCTTTATTTTGATCCGGCCCTCATTCCCAGTGCCAACACTTCACAGAGCGGAGCAGGGCCCTCAGCTCCCACGTGGAGCAACAGGCAGGCAGCAGCGCAGCACTCACACCCGGGTCCACTCGGCAGGGGGGTCCCGGGGTCCTTTAGGCCTCCCAATGCGCATGTTGAACCCTGGAAGAGGAAGGGCACCGTCGGTCTCACGGAGAAGCTGAGGTGTGGAGAGGCAGGCCACTGGTGGAAAGTCATCTCCAAACCTCCAGGTCCTCCTGGTTTACTGCGGCCGCATCCACAGGACCCTGCGGTTGTGAGTTCCCTGCCACCATCCCTAAACCCCAAACGCCTGGGACTCAGTCAAAGCTGCAGAGAGCCCGAGCGCCCCGGGCGGTCTGACTTACCTAGCCCACCGCTCTGGGCTCCGTCCACCACGTCCTCGTAGGCGCCGGGCCCCGCTGCGCTCTGCTCAGCCGGCACTGCGGGCAG